CCTATAGGAAATGGTGCTTTGACTTACAATCATTTTGAGTTACAACCATCTTCCGGAACCAATTAAGTTCATAAGTCAAGGCACCACTGTATCGCCTTCTAACTGCTATTGAAAAGAACATTTTCTCTTCATATTTTGCACCTTTGTGTCTCGAGTTCACCCACTTTAATTCCATAACAACAATTCAGGCACCATTTCCATTCGATAACAGCAAACGAGTTAAATAAAGAAGGGCAAGGGTTTTTTTTAAAAAAAACGGCATAAAGAATCTCCCTCTCAGTGCCAAGCCCATTACCCAGTCAAGTCCAAGGGGCAAAAGCAAAAAGCACTATTTTATTCCCCAGCCCTCAACTTATTGTCTCTCTTGCCATTTTCCTTTTCTTTGTACAGGCAAAGATGAAGAATAGGCAGATGGTGCATTATAACTAAGCTTCCCATTTCCCATGGACCATGAAGAGAAAACCCTTGGCCCCAATCAGAATCTCCCCATTTCTTTTGTTTGAGGATGGCCCAGAATGGGAAACCCTAGAGCAGAGACACCCTCAGGCCCAAAGACAAGACTGAGTCCACAATCCTCTGTGATCTGTAGGACAAAGGCAAGTCTGCCTTCAGAGTGAAAGCAGGGCAATGGAAAGAACAGATTGCAGAAGCCTTATACCCTTCATCATTTGGTGTCCCATTCAGCATTCTTGTTTCCCACAGCCAGCTCTCTGGAAACTCAGTCCTGGAGACAATGTGTTCATCAGGAGAATATTCATCCTCAAAGTCACCTGGGGAAATGTATGACAAACTAAGAGCCTAATCTCACTAGTAAAATCCCTCTATTTCAAGTAGGTTTTGTATGTTTTAACTCAATTTAAATTTGAGTGGTTACTCAACATATTTGCAAGCACGGAGTAATTTGACAGGGAATTAATTTTTTCTCTATGGCGGAAAATTTTTTTACCTGTTTATTTTATGGTGGATGTGGAATCAATTCATTGAAAGTGATTCCGCGTGTGTGAATGATGCTCCCGCTGGATGGCTCTCAGTGCCATTTCTCCCCTGTTGTGGTGGTGTTGTTTTCTTTGTTGCAAACAAGCGCAGCAATATACTAGACAGAACAATTAGAAAAAGCTACAGAGTCTTGCCCCGATCAGCTGTTTTGCACAATCCCTCAGCTGGGAGGCAGACCCCTCTGCAATCTGCCTGACAACAGGCCTGCTGCTGGGCTACTGGGAGGAGGAGGAGGGATGGAGATGGGGCATCTGGGTGTCCCTGGGAAGAGGATGGATCTGCCCTCATTGCCCTAACATTGCCACTTCCTCTACTGTAGGATGCAGGTGCGGGGCTCCCAGGCAATGTGCAAACCAGCTAATGGGTGCCTGGCCTCTGCTTAATGCTGGCTTCTTCCCAGGGGTTAGCCAGTTGTTGCAGCGATTGGAGGAAGCCACCTCCATATTGTGTGGTAAGAAGCTGTGGCTACTTACCATACAATACGCTGCATTATAAAGAAAGCCCAGGGAGTGAGTCAAACACCATGTGACCATCATGAGATTATAACTCCTTTTGTTTTAGAAAGCACCTTATGACACAGTTATTCTGAAGTGTAAGCAGGCCCTACTTAATTTATTACTGTGATGTGTCCTCAGAAGAGATTAGAAAATGACCCAAAGCTAATTTTCTGTGACGGTCCTCCTTATAGGAAGAACAAATGCACTAAGGCTGATCATAATCAGGCATTCCAAAGCATTTTATGAAGAAAGAAGACAAGCAATCAAACAGAGAGCTACTTGCTTCTGGCCAAGATAAGTTCATCCTCCCGTCGATTTGCATCCCGTATGCCTTTGATGTAGCGGCAACATTCAAGGAAGGCAGCCCGGCACTCATTCTGATCCTCAATGTATTCTGCACGCTTTTCACAGGTGTGCCCCATGGGATTCTCATGCAAGCCATCTTCACAGCACTTTCTTAGCCTCTGATCCTGATATTGAGCCACTGAAACATCCAAGCCACATAAAATATCAGAAACCATTTGTCCCCTAAACTAGTCCTGCCTATTCCTCATCGCAAGAGACAGAGGAGAACTGATATGCAGGTAAAGGCTCTGTTGACTAGCCTCTGCCCTAGCCAGCTCCAAATAATATACAAACGTTTCAACTTTCTGTTCATTTTAACGCATTGCCCTTATCTTTATTGTTAACTACTACATCAGAAGCCTTTGCTGACACTTAAATCATACGTTTTGACACTCAGTTAACCAGCCTTAGCAGTTCCTAGCATTCCTTACCACTGGCAATGCCTCTTAGGCCTCATGGGAGTTGCAATCCAATCCCACCTAGAGAGGGACACTTTCCACCCCTGCTCTTGATCCTCGCTGCCCCTCTGCCCCAGGAGAATGTTACAAGCTGATGAGCTCCCTTCTCCTCCATTTCCCCTTTTCCTCCAACCAACACCCTCAACATTCTTTAACTCAAACGCCCTCAATGCCCTGAAGGTCTGGAAGTCACAGAGCATATTGCTTGTTTAGCCATTTAGGGATTAAATTTTGATGCTTCTTTTAATGTACAAATGGACGCACACTTTGCTTGCATGTCCAAGGAATCCCATGACTGAGGAGAAACTGCAGCTCTGTGCTGGTTGTTCATTTTCTTTCCAGACTGAGAGGCAGTGGGCCACCAAAGGTCAATTCTAGAGAGAAAGGAAGGATACAGAGGAAGGCCTGTGGTCCACATCAGCCCAGCATTCCTTTTCTGGCTGGCAGATACTCCAAGCTCTTAGGGAGAGGTCTTTCCCAGCAGTGCTTTTTCACCTCCTTTTAAAGACGAGGCCCAAGATCTTCTATGCTCAGTCATGAAGGGACGACCCTCCCTCTTGCATAAGGAGCTGCTTCGCACTGAACCACAAGCAGACCTACCATGTATTTAGGCTCGTAATTGGCGAGCGGTGCTGCCAGCCTTGGAGAGGGTGCTGTCCAGGACTGTACAGGCTGTTTCACTGAGCAATGTCCTCACATTAAGCTGCCTTATGTGCTGGCACAGATAGCTGGTTGGTCTACTCCAGCTAGTATTACCTAGTCGGATGCAGAGAAAAGTCCTTCCACAACCTTGCTAAGTGTCCACCTTTTGTCCAATCACATGTCCATTTCATAATCCCGTTACGCTTGATGTTACAAAAGTGCCTTGATCATTTAGAGCAGCCATTTTCAACAGGGGCCTTATGTCCCTCTAGGGGGACCTGGCACAGTCAAAGGGGGTCACGACTGATACGTGTGAGAATGGTTTTTTTATTTCATCTGCTTGTACTGTTGCCTTGTTTGGCAGGGGCCCCCCGTGAACTGAGAAGAACCCCTAAACAGGTCTTGGCCAAAAGCATGTTGAGAATGGCTGCTTCAGAGAACAGCAGTAGTTCCCAGCTTTTCCAACTTGTGGCTCCCTTGAGCAGAGGCAGCAGAGTAGGAGGAGCAGCAAGAGGTGCGGGCAGAGCAGGAAGAAAAGAAGCACAAAAGAGCAGAGCTTGAAGCCCACAGAGCAGCAGCAGCAGCAGCAGCACCAACTCTGCAAAGAAACAGAGATCAAATTCTGCTGTGCTGCCAGCTGGGCTTGACAGCACCCTGGGGCACTGAAGAGGCTGCAATGGGCCCCCTGCACACTTTTGGAACCCATGGAGTATAGGAACGTTTGATGCTTTTCACATACCTTTGCTTGCCTTCGACTCAATGAGTTGGACAGAGCGGCGCCGTCTCCGCCTCGCAGCTTGGGGGCATTTGGCATCTGGGAATAAGAAGAGAGGGAGGAACAAGGAATTAATACCAAGAGAAGGAACAAAAAGACTGCTCTATAGTCTGTCTCTAATTATTTGTTTACTCAGAGAAGAATGGGCCTTACTTCAATGGTAGTGAGAACAGGGTTATAGCCTTAACGCTCAAGGATGTACATGTCAGAGGCATACATACTAACACACACATGGACACGCTCAGTGTTTCTGTGCAAAACAGTGTATAGAGGAGGTAATGTGGGGCAACGAAGGAATTTATCAGTGACAGCACATGCTTAACGCAACACTGCTCCATTCCAATTCCTGATGCTTCTTTTCTTGAGAAATACCAATCTTCTTGAGAAATACCAATCTTCTGGGGTTTCTTTGTGGTACATCTTTGCAAAGTTACATGTTGTGGATGTAACTAGGATATGGATAAGGGCTGGACTCGATGATCTATTGGGTCCCTTCTAGGTCTGAAGTTCTAAGATGATGATGATGATGATTGTCTGTTCAAGATCTTGGTACAGTGGGGTCTTGACTTAACAACGGCTTAAGAACATTTTGACTTAGGAACCACTCTCATAGGAAAATATTGACTTGACTTACACACTTAGATTTGAGTTAAGAACTGAAAAAAACCACGTGGGAGGCAGGGAAAGTGCAAAATTTGAACTTTCAGTTAACTGTTGGCCAGTGAAAAGGGTGCCTGTCTGCTTCCTCACTCCTCCCAGCGTTTAGAGAGTGGATTGGGGGACAGGCTTCAGGCTGCCTGGTACTGCCTGGACTGTATTTTCCCTGCCTTCCCTGAACCTTTCTTGACCTAAGAAAAAAAGAAACAAAATATCCCCCTCTAGTGGTCGAAGGCAGAATAGCAGCTTCCCATTAGTTTCTAAGGACGGAAAAGAGCAGATAAGGATCAAACGGTATTCAATGCATTCCTAAGGGAAATGCAGATTTGACCTGAGAACTTTTTGACTTGAGAACCGCCTGCCAATACGGATTAAGTTCTCAAGTCAAGACCCCACTGTATTAGAGGCAACAGACCAATAAGGGCTGTCTGTCAGGTGAAGGACACTTTTCACAATGCAAATCCTCTGTCAGATCATGGATCTCATCATACCTGATCTTTGTTTTGTGGAGAGCTTATTACTGGTCTCCAGGGTGAGGCCAGCATCTTCGAACACACCCAGATTGTTCACGCCACTGCCAGCTGTGCAGCCAATATCGTTCTTTTCTACTGTGTTCCAGATCTGCAACAAAATAAAAATGGAGGAAACAGTGCATAGATTCAGCAAGGTTCAAGGTGAAAAACCATCTGAGCTTGGTGTCTCAAATCCAAGGAATTGCCTGCCTTACCTTACTTTGGGTAAGTTTATATTTTTTGTTTAGGACATAAACCCCTTTGTCCACAACCACAAGACCAACTGTAGCATTTGCATCTCCTTCCACTTTGATTTCCATTGGAGCGCTTGGCTCCTGGATTTGTTCGTCAGCCTCAGTTGCTCCTTTCACAATCAGCTGTTTGGACAAAGGCAACCAAAAGATTCAGTTTTGTAACAGGGAAAATTGAAATTCTGCTATTTTTCTATCATAAGCTGTTAGATAAATTTGTGAATATGACTCTGAAGTCTCCTAGAGGTTTCTCTCTTTCAAAGTCAAAGAACAGGGCAAGTATATGGCTTAATGTAGTCTTGAAAGCTTTCACAGCCGGGATCCGATGGTTGGTGTAGGTTTCTTGGGCTGTTTGTCCTCCTGAAAAGGACAAAAAGCTGATCCCACAGCTACAAATACTCAACTATCCCACATAGCACACCAGAAAACAGACAGAATTCTAACTCATGTCCTCTGAAGACGCCGGTCAGAGAGACTGGGGAAATGTTAAGAAGAAAAACCTTCAGAACATGGCCAAACAGCCTGAAAACTACAATTCTATGGCTTAATTTCCAATTAACTGAAGACACAGGAACTATCCACGGAAAAGCAAGTATAGAGTTCCCACACTTTCACGGCAGCATCTGTAAAAGGGTGCCATGCACTGACATTGGCAAGTAAATCAGCAGAAAGGCTGACCTACCGTTCCCATACAGGTGTCCTTCACGTCCACCCAGACAGAGTCGGCCACGATCTCATTGTTCCCCACTGGGTAATAAGCCAAAACACGGAATGAAGGGATGAGATCTGGGGTGATGCGCAGAGACATGGTGACCAGATTCTGTCCAGCTCGCCTCGGCTGCCTCCCAGCCCTCAGTATCTTCCCTTTAGTTAAGATCTAATGATAAACAAGGCATAATATTAGGAAGAAGACCGTGCATTGGTTTGAAGAATGTGATGTTGATAAGGAGGAACTACATGACTTAACACACAAAGTCAACAGAATAAAACAATTCTTCACTTCCTGTGCAATGCTGTAATATGGAAGTGCTTACTGCTTTCTTGTAAAACAAGATTCTAGTCCTACCTACACATGCCTAGCACAGTAGATTTTATTTCACAAAACAAACAAACATCCAACCCAGGGAGTGCTAACATCTATGATACAATGGCAGCTAAAATATACCAAGAAAAGTCCAAAGCACTCTACAAAATGAGAAGAATAAAATCAATGCAGCTTATAGTCCAGTGGTTAAAAAAACATACACACAAGGAGTGTACTATAGTGCCTGGGAGCATTTCACCCCAAGGAATAGCATCCTCTGGGGCTGTGGAAGCTCATAAAGATCTTGGAGGGACATGGAACCTTCCTTTTTATCAATTACCTACTACATCCCTATCGACATCACTGCTTTTGATTAACACTACAATATTCTTTAAGACCTGAGATTATTTTCTTCCCAGGCACTTTTCCCAACAGTGATTGGACTCATGGTCCCCTTCCCCACCATAATTTCAGCATTCTATAGGAGCTGGGAGCTCCACTCTGCCCACATTGATAGCACTTACTATGTAGGTTAAATATGTGACTCCGTTCAGCACTTCTTGGTTGTTGCTTCTCAAATTGAAATTAATATCTAAATCATCCCCAGCCTTGAGCTCTGTAGCAGAGACTGCTAAATGCAGGTAGTTTCCAGATCCTGCCTGGGTTTGGTAAGCTCTAGCCACCATGCTGTTGGTTGCCTGCCGTTCTTTTGGGAGTCGTTCATGGTTGGTTTTTACCTTGAGAGGGAAAGAAGGTTAACCAAGTCTGATAGAAGCCATGACTCCTTTGAACAACTACTTTATAGATGAGAAGAATCATGAGAGGGGCAAATGGATGTGTATACACATATAGAAGATGAAACCAGTTGTGGTTGGGATAGAGACAAAATTCAGTGGGACTGTGGGTGCTTCCTCTCCCTCTCCCTCTCTCTGATTATTTTTCTTTCTGATCTGCACCTTTTGTTGCGGGTCAGAAATAAAGATTTGCAGAAGGATTTTGAAATGAGACCAAGTGCTGTACAGAATTAAGTCATGAGAAAACACCATTTTAGGGTTACACGTTGCCCACGTATATTCTACAAGCCAAACATGTGTTCCACCACACCATTGACCAATGTCTCCTGCCCTGAAAGTTCACACATGTTGACAATGAACCATTGTTTTGTTTGTGTGTGTGAAAAATAGGATGACCGACAACTACAAGACATTTGAAGGAACTTAGAATAAACTTAGGGTGACTTACAGTGATCCTTAGCTCTTGCGCATTTCCTGGCATATTCAGGACTAGCTTGGCAATCCCGTCATTCTGTGTTACTGCATTTCCTGCAAGAGGCTCTGACACCACAGGGACTTCAACATTTAAGATTTACATTTCTGATGTTCCTAGAATGTATTTCCTGAGAGGAAATTGAGCAACACACTAACTTTAATATCTTGGGCCTACAGGTCCTGTCTCTTTAAGAGAAAGGCTTAAGTAGCAGCTCTTTCTTCTTTTGTACAGGTGTGTAAGATTGCTGAGTCATGCTGACTCATGGATGCTGACTCATGGATGATGTAACATCTAATGTGATTGCTCACATGCAGATGTGTATATGTATATATATTTGAAACTGTACAGAAGATGTATTCCTGATTTGTGATTAATGCTATCCTGTTATGCTGCCAGACTGAACTGCTGTATATATTCTGCAAATACATATTGGTGTTGGGAGAAGCTGCCTTGTGTGCATGAGTTATTTGGACTACCTGGACTGATCAATACTGATTCTGCGGAATTTACGCTGATTTTGCGCTAACAAGGGGTTATGGGCCCAGTGATGTGCCCTGCGATACCTGCCTTGCACCAAGGAAGCCAGTGAATACCAGAGGGTGCCACAGAGGCATATGGGAAAAGGCCAAGAAGGTGAGAGTTCTGCCATTGAGATCCCAGGATGGGAAAGAGAACAGAGGACTGAGAGAAAAGGCAGTAGCATGCATTCATTTGGGGCAGCAAGCATGGGAGGTTTTCCCTTAACAAAGCTAAATGAAAAGAATTATCAAACATGGTTGGTTAAAGCCAAGATGTTACTGAGAACAGAGGACTTGTGGCAGACTGTTTCCGATCCTCCCGCTGCATTCGATGAAGAGGAAGAAAAACAGAATGGAAGGGCTTTAACCACGATAATTCTGTTCCTGGAGGACAGCCAGTTAATTCACGTACATGGACTGACCCTGGCTAAAGAATGCTGGGAATCTCTGAGACGAATTTATGTCAGAGATACAGCGGGAACCAAAGTAACTTGGACCAGAAAGCTATATAGAGCCAGGCTTGAATGTGAAGGGAGCATGTCTGAGCACCTGCAGAAGATGAAAAACCTGTTCATAGAGCTTGAACAGAGAGGAATGAACTTCACACAAAGCCACAAAGTGTACGTAATCTTGAGCAGTACTCCCGGAGGACTACAATGTGCTGGTGACAAGCCTTGAGTCCATGCCAGAGAGGGACTTAACTCTTGAGTACCTGACAGGCAGAGTGCTGGAGGAAGAGCAAAGGAGAAATTAAAGATCCAAAAACAAAGGGAGAGATGACAGCCCACAGTGGAGGAGAGATTACACCCCACAGTGGAGGAGGGCTGCTTCCAGGAGGGGAGAGCAGACGAGCAAGGCTTTGACTGCAAGACACTGTTTTAAGTGTGGTTCTGAAAAGCATTTACAGAAGAACTGCAGAGAAGCTGGCCGCGGAAGCGAAAGCAAGAAACAGGGAAGGATTTCTTTTGTTCAGGCTTCTGATAAAGCCAAGGTCACCAGCTGGATCCTGGACAGTGGAGCTGTGTGTCTCTTTTCTAGGTGCTTCAGAACACAGTTTCGTGAGCCAAGCAAATGGAGAGAAGTCTGCCATTACTGGAGAAGGGACTGTGTTTGTTCCAGGTTTGAAAAGGGAACTTAGTGGTGTGTTACTAGTTCCGAAATTGGATTGCAATATACTGAGCGTCTGTAGTCTTGATAAGGAAGGTTGTACAACACTTGTACAATTAAGAAAAGAAACAAAATTTGTGCTACAGCAAAGCTTGAAAATAATGTATATGTGCTAAAAGGGAAAACACAAAACAATGTGACACATGCCATGGTTAGGAAGACACCTCAACATGACCAGTGTGCCCACTTGTTGCATAGAAGGCTTGGTCATGCAAATTTCAGAGTAATACAGAAAATAGAAAACTTGGCTAAAGGTGTAAGAACGAAGCCTTGCAAGAATTACGTAGACTGTAATGTGTGTAAACTTGCAAAATCAAAAGTACACTCAAAACGCAGAGAAAGTACTAGTCAGACTCAGAGGCCATTTCAGTTAGTCCATGCTGACATAATTGGGCTTCTTGCGCCATCTATGTGAGGAGCGAAATATATCCCAGTCATTGTAGATGACTACACACATTATTATTTCTGATACTTGATGAAAAACAAAGCAGAAGTGTTCAATCATTTCAAAAATTGGATAAATTTTGTGCAAAGACTATATGACCGAAAGTGGCTCAATTACAGACAGATAGAGGGTCTGAATTGATGTCAGGAAAGTTCCAGACATGGTTGAACAACACAGGAATATTCCACAGAAAAATCAGTCCATATTCTCCTTTCCAAAATGGGGTTGCAGAGTGCAGAAATGGAGTCCTGCAAGCAATGAAGGATGTCCTATTAGCAGATGCTAATATGAGTCATGTGTACTGGGGTTGAGCATTGTTAACCTCGAATTACATTGTTAACAGACTGTGGTCTTCAGCTATAGAGCAAACCCCATATTATATGTTGTATGGGAATGAGACTTCCCTACAGCATATGAGAGTGTTTGGATGTAGTGCCTGGGTGCACGCACCAAAGGAAACCAGAAGAAAAGATCAAAAGCTAACAAAATTAGGTTTTGGGGCTATGAAAGAGGGTCCAAGGCATATCATTTTCTGGATGGAAACAAAAATGTAGTAATCTCCTGATCAGCAAACTTTTGTGAGCATGAAAACTGGGACAAGGTACACGCAAATTCCCAAATATACATTCCCATAAGAGAAAGTGAGAAAAATCGAGGAAATGAGATAGAGCCAAAGCAAGAGGTTGAAGAAAGCTCAAGCAACAGCACCTCAGAAGAAGAGGATGATGGGGAATGTAGTGAATTTACAAAACCAGCCTGCAATTAAAGAAGAACCACTAATCCCCAAAAGGTCTGAAAGGGCTAATAAAGGAATCCCTCCAACAAGGTTTGGTGTAGGGGGAATAAAAGTATGTCATGGATATCAAGAACCCAAGAATTATGAGGAAGTGTTGCTTCTACCTGAGGCAGTGAAAAGGAAAAGGGAACAAGCCATGAAGGAAGAGTTAAAATCCATGGATGGCCATAGAGTATTTACAGAGACAGTTTTGCCATCAGAAGATAAAGTAATTGGTAACAAGTGGGTCTACAAACGAAAAATGCAAATAAATGGGGATTATAGGTACAAAGCAAGACTTGTGGCTCAGAGATACACAGTAAAGAAAAATGTGCATTATGATCAAGTCTTTTAACCAACAGTAAAAGCAGAATCTTTGAGGTTAGCATTAACTCTAGCTGCTTCTACATATTACATAGTGTGTCAATTTGATATAACTACTGCTTACAGTGGTGCCCCACTTCATGACGATAATCCTTTCCAGCAAAATCGCTGTAGAACGAAATCGTCATCAAGCGAAAGTAATGTGATTGGTCACATGCAGATGTGTACAGGTATATATATTTCAAACTGTACAGAAGTGTTCCTGATTTGTGATGAATGCTATCCTGTTATGCTGCCAGACTGAACTGTTGTATCTATCCTGTAAATACATGTTGGTGTTGGGAGAAGCTGCCTGTGTGAGTTATTTGGACTACCTGGACTGATCAATACTCTGCTGATTCTGTTGAATTTCCTCTGATTTTGCGCTAACAGAGCCTAGATCACTAGTGCTGACACATGTGCAAAGTGAGAGTTGTACTGCTGTTTATGTGTTTCTTTCTGGATTTTAGATAGCACAAACACAGCCTGAGAGGAAAAGAGACTGTAAATAAGATTACCATCAGTCTATAGGGCATCGCTGGCTTGAAGTACTTGGGGGTTTTGGTGAAGTGGATCTGATAGGGAGATGTCACAATGCTAATATCACTTTTCTCTGCCACCACCATGTCGCTGCCTGCAGAAAGAACATAGGGAAGGAAGGCTAAAATATGAAGCCAAATTGTTAGAGGGGGAGGAAATATCTCCTCCAAATTATTTCAGAATTAGCCTCTTGAGATCCAATAATTTCCAAACATTCTGTTTCTTACAGAATTACACTTCATCTCCACTTGTCTTCTGAAGAAGCCCTATGTGTTGGATAGACTACAAAATCTATTAAGACTTTTGAGGAGAAAACTACACAGAGAGGTCATATTAACCAATGCTGAACTTTGACAACAAGGGCCTTGTGCAGAAAAAGCAGTGCAGCACATTCCTACTGCCAGGATTGAAATGAAACTGAAAACACAATGTCAGATTCTAAAGGATAGACTGACTCTATAAAGGAAACCACAACCCTGATTTTGTAGGAATTGTAGGAGTTGAGCTGGTCTGTTAGTGGTAGGACATGGTGGTCACTCCTTCACAGGGTCACCATAAATTGGAGATGACTTTATGGTACATAGCATCCCCTGAAAATAAACCCTAATGCATTTTTGGAGCAAAAATTAATATAAGACCCTGTCTTATATGCGGAGAAACACGGTACATGTTCTGTGGTACACATTTACCTCATACACAGCAAAGACCAAGATTCTGGGACTTTTTCCTTCCCCATGTGAGCTAACAAGCAGCTAATACTCCCCTTGCCAGAGGGTAAGTTCTTTCTTGGAATCTTGTCCCACACTGAGGACACACAACTCTTAAAAACCCAATTCGCTACTATAATGATCTCACATAGACTCTGATAAATGCGCAAAAATCCCCAATTTTCTTTAGTGAATTACAGAACGTGACACATGCTTTATTAGATGTCCAAAGTTGACATACTCTTTGTCACAGAAATAAGCAACACTTCTATGCACAGAGATCAGTCACCTTACTGGAGTCCCATGAGTTTTAAAATTACAAAAATGATATACAGTGGTGCCTTGCAAGACGAGCGCCCTGTTTAATGACAAAATCGCATTACGACGAACTTTTTGATGGTCTGAATGGGGTTTTTTCGCTTTGTGATGATCGGTTCCCTGCTTCAGGAACCGATTCTCGCAAAACGACGATTTTCGGCCAGCTGATCGGCGGTTTCAAAATGGCTGGCAGGTTTAAAAAAAGGCTCCCTGCTCTTTTCTGGGACGGATTCCTTGCTGCACGGGCAGCGAAAACAGCCATGCTATGGAGGATCTTCGCTGGACGATGAGTTTTAAGCCCATCGGAACGCATTAAACAGGTTTTAATGCATTTCTATTGGCTTTTAAATTTCGCTTTACGATGTTTTCGTTCTACAGTGATTTCGCTGGAACGAATTAACATCGTAATGCAAGGCACCACTGTACATTGTGGCAGAGATATACAATATGTAACTGATATAAAATGCAAGAAAGATGCATGCACCCTGAAATTGCCAAAGGAACCCTTTCATCAGCAGCAACTTCCCACTGCTGGTGGTATCATCACTGTTGAGCATGTGGAGCTGTACAACAGGATCTCAGCCAATGTTTTTTTTCCTGTGGTTTTTTTCTGAGATGTCACTGTTTGTTTGAGAACTCACCTCTTCTTTGCTCAGCCTGGGTAGACTCTGAAGATTGGCCACCTAGCATTTGACCATGAAAACTCTCTGAGTCTTGTCAAGACCACACATTAAGGATGATCACATGATGATAAGAAAGGAACCAGACTCATTAAGGCTCAGTATGATTGATTTAGGCATTAATGTATATAGGCCATAGAAATATTCCCCAAAAATGAACCACAGTGCAGACCAATGTTGTGTTCAGAGAAGCTTTACATTGCCTTTCACTAAGGGGTTCCCAATAACAAAAGGGACATAAGCCTCGTCATCTTACTTCAGGGTTTGCTTCCCTTTGATCCTCTCTGCCTGCTCACTGCTTCCCAGTACCCTTTTTATAAACACTCTGCCTCATAGTGACAAAGAAAGAAGCCTCGGGACAGGGGGTGATAGAGCTGGAGCCACTTTTGCCACTCTGTGGCTGTTGGATTCGACAGCATTACTCTCAAGCTTTTGGTTCTTGAGAATATCTGAAACATTTGAGAGAAAAATCACCGAGTAAAGGAGCATGTCTTCTCTCTTATTCTCTGAATAGGAGAGGGAAGCCTTCCTGGCTCAGCAACAAAGCTGAAAAATGCATTCCGGCTGTCACAGGAAAGATCAGAGGAAGCACTGGGGCTAGAGATGGGCACAATTCGGAAAACCTGTGAACAGGCTACCCATGAACCACAGATCACCAGGAACCCCCTGGAAAATGAATCAGTTCGCAAGTTGTTTTTCTGGTTTGTGCCTGGGAGGACTTCAGGGAATCCCCTGCCTTCAACCCCCCCTCGCCACCCCCTCTCCCACGTCTTGCTGCCCCCATTGCCTCCCTACCTGGTCCTGCTGTTTCCTCTGCCACCACCACCATCTTCAGAGACAGTGACCCAGCTTCTCCTCCAGGAGCCAGGCTGGCTGTCTCTGCGCATAGACCACACCTATCAGCTGATGGGCAGAGGAATGAGCAGAGACGACAGGTTGAGAGGAGCTCCTGGGAGGGAAGCTGGGCCGGGCCGCTGTTTCTGAAGACAACTGCAGAAGAGGAGGAGGAAGAGGAGGAGGTGGTGGCAGGGCCAGGGAGGGATGGAGAGAGAAGAGGTGGGCAGGTATCCCTTTTGTCAAAGCAAAACAAAGGGCTGAACTGAAAAAAGTTGGCACTTTGTTTCAATTTGGCAAAATGGGTTCCACAAACCGAACCACAAATCAACTCAGTTCATGTATTTTTCTGGTTCATAGTTCAGTTCATGCCCATCTCTAATTAGGGTGATAATAAGCCATGGAAAGACTACCAAGCCTGCAGGTTGCTTTTTGTGGCATGTACATTTTAATAGAAGGCCATTTTAGGAAGCAAATGAAGAATAGTGGGCCAGCACCTTAAACTCCATCCCTTCAAGTGTCTGTAGAATTGTTACAAAGTCATGTTCTCCGTGCTTCTCCTGATTGCAGTCGGAGTAATGTTGCTCAAAACAGAAGCCCTCCGAAGGTAGGATTTTATTTGGAGGCTGATCGTAAAAAGAGCCTTGCAGGCTTTTCTTTAACACTGGGTGTCCGTGAGGAGCCTCAGGCTTTGTTTTTACTTCCCAGGTGCCAACCATGTCTGTAGAATTGTTACAAAGTCATGTTCTCCGTGCTTCTCCTGATTGCAGTCGGAGTAATGTTGCTCAAAACAGAAGCCCTCCGAAGGTAGGATTTTATTTGGAGGCTGATCGTAAAAAGAGCCTTGCAGGCTTTTCTTTAACACTGGGTGTCCGTGAGGAGCCTCAGGCTTTGTTTTTACTTCCCAGGTGCCAACCAAGACTAACTTAACTATAAGGGTCAAGAGTCCCTGAGACTACCTCTTCTTTTCTGTGCTCACTTTATGTGCCAGCTTTCCTCTCTAGTCCATTTTCTGCTCCCCAAATATAGACAAAACAGAAGCCCTCCGAAGTTAGGATTTCATCTGGAGGCTGTTTGTAAAAACTTAACACTGAGTGTCCATGAGGAGCATCATGCTTTGTTTTTAGTTCCCTGGTGCCAATTGAGACTAACTTAACTATAAGGGTCAAGAGTCCCTGAGACTACCTCTTCTTTTCTGTGCTCACTTTATGTGCCAGCTTTCCTCTCTAGTCCATTTTCTGCTCCCCAAATATAGATGTGTGGAGATGTAGCTCCACACTATATATATAAAAAATGTACTGTAATTAAACATTTTTGATTCCACTAACCAAAAAGCATCCAGATTTGTCCTCCCCCCCCCTTTGCAAGAGAAGAGACAGACTAGGAAGACCTCTCCATGTTCTTTCTCTGCACCAACAGGGGAATGACCAATTCTAAGTCTTGTGAACAAGGCCTTCCATGTGCTGAGTTTGATGTAGAGGAATGAAAATGAAAGAAGCAGACAACTGAAGAATCTAGAACAGAAATGTTTGAAAGGACTGATAACATTTTTACCTATAGCAGGCAAGGGAGACTCCAGTATTGGTGCACCATTGATGAACTTTTTGTGATATCCTGTTGTCTTAAACTCAACACTTACCTGAATCCGTCATCATTGTTACAGAGACATAAAGGGAGTGCCCAACAAGCTCAACAGGGTTGCGAAATTTGGACTGGAGCATAGCTCTTGTAAGCGCCGCTTCCCCTTTCCCTTCGACAATCTGAAAGGGAAACACCAGACAAAGGAGAAAATCAAACGTATATACACACAGTCAGATATAGCTATAGCTATAGATAGATATATAGATACAAATGTACATGTACACATACACACAAAAGTTACAACTACATGTACCAGACATTGCGAAATTAGTTCTCCACAGTTTCAATCACTGCACATGCCATGAGGCCAGGTACAGTTATTAAAAGCATACCTTGGCCCCATTCTGAAATTGCACCAGGGCTTCCATCATCAGCGGGCCAGTTCTAGGAGGCTTCCTAGCTGCTGACAGGACTGGGGTCACGGACTCAAGATCCAGCAAAAATGGAGCTGCCTCTCAGGTGAGAACAACATTGCCATCTGGCCAGTGCTAGGCAGCTTCTTGGCTTCCTCAACAGTGGGTGACATTGTTCTTGCCAGCCGGGGAGGGA